TGTGTCCTCTGTCTGAGCTCCTCCCATCTCCTCAAGCACACCAGCCACCAACAAGAGGAAGAGGGAGGAAGACGTGCAGAGGTGTGAGCAGCACAGCAGGCTGCAGGAAAAGAGGATGGAGGAAAAGATGTAGCAGGATGCAGCGGCTCTCAGATTTAAATCATCTGTGACACTTCCAGGTGTTGATGATGAGCAAAACAAAAAAGACACGAGTGAAAGTTTACAAAAGAGATGCAGTGAAGTGAGGAGAACCGCGAGCTTAAAGAAACCGTTAGATCAGGAACATTTGATGAATCTGCATTTGAAAAGGATGAAGATGAAGTCGAGGCAGTGATAGGAGTGCCCACATCATTACAAGTAGTTTTAACATGTTTGGTGTCTTTTCTGCAAGCTGGAACAAACCTGATTCCTTTAAAAAAAACTGCTTGTGAGACTGAAATGAATCTTCTTCATCCCTGATTGTTTTTTGTTTAAGATCTCAGCTCCAGGAGAACCACTGAAGACTTGTGTCAGTGCCCATCATAGATGTGTCGGTATTATTGACTGCTTTGAAATGTTCACTGAAAGGACCTGAAAGCAAGAACACAAACGTACTTGAAACACAAACATCGCTATACAATGAAACACGAAACTGGCAGAAAAATCCGACAAACACGTGACTGAACAAAGTGGATTTTTGGACTCTCTCAGCACAGGAGGTGTAACATTAACAGAATCATTTAGGTTGCATAATCCTGAACTGAGGATCCCAGCTTCCTCCAAAGAGAGGACATAACTGTGGAGCTGAGGCCCACAAAAGGACCTGTATCACTCAGAGTACATGTTGGGAGCTACTGGAGAAGAAAGGAATGAATATACAAGTGAAGATGTGTGAAGCAGAGCACCCTAAAGGTCTTACACCTCTTGATAAATTTAATTGGAAAAATTTACAAGATGACTTTGAGAATGGTCTCCTGTGAGAGCCGCTGTGATGCAAAAAGACAGGAGGCTGAGCTGGAGGTGGCAGAGGACGGGAAGATTTTCACTGGGAATGATCAGGATGGACAGGATTAGAGAGGACTGCATCACAGGGACAGCTCGGGTTCAGCAGTTTGGAGACAAAGCTGCACCTGTGCAGAGGAGGGATAGAGGATAGACTGGGAAAGGATGTGAAGGCAGAGCTGCCAGGAGGAAAAGAGGAAGACCTCAGAGAAGATTCATGGATGTAGTGAAGAAGAACAGAGTGTTGGTGTGGCAGAGGAGGAGAGAGAGGAAGATGACCTGCTGTGGCGAGCTTTAAAGGGAAAGAAGAAGAAGAAGGTCGTACATACAGCATATCAACAGCTGTTTACTTGGCTGAAAAGTGTAAATATAAAAATACTGGCAGCAGCCTCGGTACCCCTCAGCCTCCTGGTAGATACACCAGTCGCATCAATTTCAAAGACCTACATTTTGCCTTGTTCTCCACTTCTCACAGTGTGACCCACACATCTCACTGCTTCATACCTGCCCAGAGACTGCAGGTGGTCTTTTTCCTTTATGTGGTCGGCCTGGCTGTCCATGAAAGAAATACACAATAAGCATGAAACCCGACTAATGGACAGTGATCAGTCTCTTCAAAACAGACAAGCATCCACCCTACAAACAATTTACATCCTTGCATGTAAATTATTGCACTAACCGTGTGTGTTGGACTTTATTGTGCATGAAGATTCATCACTGCTTCTTTCTTCATGTGTTTTACTAAAGTGACCATAGGTGTGAGTAGTTGTCTGTGTTGGCCCTGTGACAGGAAGCGACCTGTCCAGGTGTACCCTCCTCTCACTCTGTAACACATGGGATAGCCTCCAGCAACCCTGAATTGGATTAGTGTTGGGTTATGCATTTGTAAAATAGTTTGACGTGTGTTGAAATAGTTTGTAATTATGTGTGCATTGGATGTCCAAAGTTACGACGTGTTTCTGGTCTTTTATACAACAAACCCAGTAATCCAGAGTTGCTGAAAAATGACTAAATATCATCATGTTGATAATTCTTCCTGCTGTCAGTATTCTGTGTTCAAAGGTCATCTTATTAAAGACAAAACACAACATGTCTGATAAAAGTGAAAGAAGAGAAAACAGGAAGTGAGGGTGTTGAGTCCATCGGTTAAACCAGTTTACAGTTCATTCATCATGAATATCATTCAGCTCGAGCTTCTTCTCCTCACAGCTGATCTCTCTCCCTTCTTCTTCTTGTTCTTTATGGGACTCTATGCAGAAATGTACCGAGGTACATACTGAAGCTTTCTGTCAGTGAAACAGTCAGATATTATATATTCAGAATTATATGAACAATAAAATGTTGATAACTTGTCACCTTTCAAGTTTTATTCTCTTTAGTTTGGTTTCAGGATTTCATTCATTACAACATTAAAATGTCATTAAAAAGTCTGCGCTTTAATTTTGGCGAGTGAAATTTTGTGATTTTATTTTTATCTTTTGCTCTAATGAGGTCTAAGCTTGCCGGCTGTTGCTGATAGCTTGGCACTTCACTGACTCATCCAAAAATCCAACATGGCAGCAGCCATGCGTTCTGAAACGCCTCTGAGTTCAGAAACCCATTTTTCACGGTGGCTGTGTCCATCCTTTATATACAGTCTATGAACAGTGCCCACAAGGCTCCAAGTTTAAATGTCACTCACAGAGAAACCAACAGATTTGCAGTGTAAAAGTCTTCTTAATGCTTAGTTCGTACAAACACACAAATACCAGTTTATTTACCTGTATTACACTTATAAATGAATTATTATGTGCCTCACCTTCTGAGGTCTGGAATGGCATCTTCATGTGAACAGAAACATTTACCAAAGGTTTTCTTACAGTGAGTCAAATCATACACGTCTGAAAAACAGACAAAAACCACCAAGTTTCCAGTAGAAACAAGTTTCTGCAGCCTGCGAGCCAAAAGACTGACACACCATTTTTAATCTGGCTGTTTCTGTAGGTGTGATATATCAGTAGTAATCCTACAATCGGTAATATTGAGATTAATATGTCAACAATATGACTACTAAATGCAGCTGTTTTAATCTTTTCCACTGCCTGTGTTGGAGCTGAGCTCATGATCACACACAGCGTAACTTTGCAAGTAGATCCCAACAAGTACGTCTAAAAAAGGATTTATGGCTCTGATGGTGGGAGAGTCAGAGAGCATACAGTATGTGAGCTTCATGTCTGAGTCACATTCCTACATATCGTGATCATTTTAACAGCATCAGCTGGTCACACTGTAACATAACTGACTCATTAGTCTACGGTTTCTGTAATAAGGGCCTTTGATGGTTGCACACTGATGGATATTCTCTGACCCTCTGGCACATCCTAGTGTAAACTATACTCCATTTGTTTCTGTTTCATAGACCTGACTCTAATAATGAACATTGTTATTTGGGGGTTTATTCCAGTTATATTCCAACACTGTTAAGCCTCAGTTAGCTGTTTTATTTAGACCTGTTTGGGTGTAGTTGTGTTGTTTACTATATGGTATTAGTGTGTGCTAGCAGTAAAATCCTGAAAGCAACAACATCTGCCCACGACGCTTCCCAAAGTGTTTCTTCAGCTGATCACGATCATCCACAAACTATTTTCTCTGCTAAATAGTTTTTGAATATTTTCTGTCCTTTATTTTCATTTAATAACTTTCATTCTGAAAAACATATCCTCAGTTTGCATTTTCTTTGTTTTTATTGTGTAAACACAAACGGAACACAGTCAGTATTTATCAATGCAGAAAAAAGCCAAAACTACATTTTCCTGGATCATTCAACAGAGCAGGTGAAAACCGTACAAACAGGATAATAAAATGTAATTAATGTTAAATCTCCATGCGAATCATAACTTCAAATCCTCTTTAATTCTAAAATATCAAAAGAATTCATATAAAACAAGCATTAATAAAAATGATACAACATAAAAATTTACAGTTTGGTGAAAAGGAAAAACACCCTAACCAGGGGAGAAGTGTCACAGTCTGGCGAGGGCAGACTGTATGAATTGAAAAAAGGACCCAAAACGCAGACTCCAAGGAACAGGGAACAAAACTTGAAATGTTAACAAAAGGCGAGCCGTTTAATATGGCTGGTAGAAACGGTACAAACAAAGGGCAAGGCAAACTGAAGCAAAATTAACACAAACATAAACTGGGAAATCTAAACAAACAATAAGACAAACCTAGACAAGCAACTTAGAAGCATGGCGTAGGATACATGGCGTAGACAACAGACGACCTGACAATCACACAACGAAAACAGAGGACTTAAATACACAGGAGGTGATTAGGGGAAGTGGGAACTGTTAGAGTTTGTATTGTTGATTGTCATTTACGCTTAGAAATATTTACTTATATATGCTTAGAGTTTTGTAATTAGTTGTAGATTGGTAGAGGTTTTGATCCTTGATAGTCTGCAAACTTTGTGTGTATTAGACA